AAGATGATCTTTGTTTAGAAGATGATCTGTGTTTAGAAGATGATCTTTCTTTAGAAGATGATCTGTGTTTTGAAGATGATCTTTGTTTAGAAGATGATCGTTCCTTGAAGGAGAGCTCACATTTCAATAGTTTCATGTATTTTAATTTGGTTGCCATTTTCTTTAGCTGAGCTGCCGACAACACAAACGGCTCAGAAGCTTTTCTGTGCAACGATCTGCTGAAGGAGCCACAGGTGAGAAGCTCTCACTTCCTGCTGGCGGTTCTGATCCGACAAAGACGAAGCAGGATCAAAACAATCCACACTAGACTGAAGTCTCAGGTTCACCTTCCACGTACTCCATGACCATGCAGAGGTGTCTGCGCGTCTCGAAGGAGCAGAACATGGACACGACGAAGGGGTTCTCAGCGAAGGTCAGGATGTCCCGCTCCACAAAGGCCTGCTGGATCTGGTTCCTCAGGATCAGGTTCTGCTTGTTGATCTTCTTCATGGCGAAGCGCTGACGCGTCTCTCTGTGGCGCACCAGATAGACGGCGCTGGAAACAACAGAGAGCACAGCAGGTGGTCCAAGGTTAGAAGAAGTCATGGCTGTGTGGAGGTCCTACAAGCTTCAGAGCAGAAGAGCTCTGAGCTCGCAACCTTCTGACACCTGCCTCAGATGTTTCTGGGCCGCAGCTTCATCGTGCAGCTCCGGCTCAGGTAAACAGGAAACTGTTATTTATGGTTTGGAGCCGCTGGCAGAATATTTCTGCTGGCGTCCGTTAGATCTTTTAAATCGTTGAAAACGTCCCTGAGCGGAAGATAAACATTTAAAAATGTGTCAGAGCTGAAGCCACCACATCGTCAAAGATGGACAGACAGCTTCTCTTTACCTTATGACCATACACACCGTGACTGCAGGGGCGATTCTAGGACCTGACCTGTGGGGGGCTCAGCCCCCAGCACTGACTGTGGATCTGGGCTTGAACAACGCACCCATGGTGAGGTTTGTGAGAAGTGCAAAACCTTACAGCACCTGGTATTAGACCAGGTGGTCTCCCATCCAAGTACTAACCACGCCCGACCCTGCTCACCTTCTGAGACCAGATGGGGTCGGGCGTGTTCAGGGTGGTGTGGCCGTAAACGAGGAGCTCCGTCACTAATAGAACTTTTAAGGGATCATAGCAAACAAAGACTAAACTTACACAACCAGAAGTTACAACAAACATCTACACACAAAACACAACTAGCTTTAACCTTTAATTAACCTCTGACTGCAAAGTGTTTGCAATGAAAAAACACAACAATGGTGTCAGAGGGAAAGGGGTAGAGCTCCTGCAGGTAAGGGCGTTCACTTTCAGGACAAATCGAGATCGCTGATTGGTCTGTTGCTGACGAGCCAGCTGGAATGATTGACAGGTCAGGATCCAACATGTGCAAAAAAATGTGATTGAATTTATTGTTCAGTTGTGTCTCTGCACTGTGTGTTGCATTTGTTGCACGCAGTGTTGCACTGTAACTCAGGAGGAACAGTCTCATTTCAATATTTACGTGCACGTAGATGAAAAGACAATCAAACCTGCCTGACTCTGATGGTTTCTTTACTTTTCAGGGGTGCTGAGTTTGTAAGAGTCCTGCCGTCCTCTCTACACTCCTCACGGGCTCCAGCTGCAGATGATCAGCTCAACACCCAGGAGGAGTAAGAAGCCTCAGGAGCCGCTCTGCAGGCGCCGGGACATTGTCTACCAACGGTAGGTGTGTTCTGGCCAGTTTATTTCTGATATTAGTGGAAACTAACATTGTGTTTCTCTCTGCGCTTCCTCAGAGTTTGGATCTTGCTGTTTACCTGCGCTGCTCGAGTCCCATCTGAGCTGTGACTCCTCCTGCCTCTCTACAGCTGCTGGATGCCTTCCACCACTTGCCTTGTCTACTTGTTTCACCTTGTGCTACTGGAGAACATCTGGACCAAAGACCTTCTCATTCTGTTTCCTGCTACCCACCGTAAGAATAATTCAACAAGTTCTCATCCAACAACAGCCCTTTCATTTCCCGCTCTCTCCCCACGTGTTCCCGTTCCTTCACTTGATCTCTTTATTAACCACTCCTGTAAATAAACAGTGTAAACGATTATCTGAGTCCTGGTCTCTGTTCAGTTCTGCTCTTTCGTCTGAGTACACCTGCATTCATAACGGAGTTAAAGTTTAGGGGTGATGAGTTATAGCTTAGTGAGGGGTGGGAGGGAAGACAAATGAACAGTAGCACAATATAACATGATGTAAAGTGAATAAATATGATATAACATGATGTAAAGTG